GGGGGGGGGGAGGTGTGCATGTGTGGCTGCAGGTGTGTGTTTGTTTGTTTTGCTTAATCATTTCACCTTTCTCACCCAACCCCTAGAAATTTGAGCTTGTATATGAAAAGTAGGTTTGAGAATATGCAAAGAGGGAAAAACCCACATTTTTTTACATTGACTTCCTGGAAAAGACAATATTAGTTTCATGCCAGAGACATAAAATAACAAATCAACCTAACAAAATATTCACTTTGGAATTTTTGTTTCAATACATCTTTTAACACTCATTTAAGAGAGCTTCTTAAGTTACTTCTGATAGCTTTACTTGTAGATGACACGTGGTAGTCAGTTATTGTCAAATTTTAAGGCCAAATTATTCTAAAAGGTCACTCTAATGGTAGTAGTTGTATCAGTTGAGCAGTTGGAGCAAAAAGTAAATCAGGCTTCTAGTTAGAGCAGATAGAAAAATAGCTTCCATGACTAACACCAGCTCTGATCTTTTTGCAAAGATGGTAATTATAGGTGGTAGCAGTGACATGTTGAGAAGGATTCTGTTTACCTTGGATACATCATGGAAAGCTAGTTTGCTACACCTAGTCTGGTGCCTCAAATATGCACAGGACTGACTGATATATAACCAATTATATATCAGAGTTTTGGGTGAAAACAGCAAAAGTGGCTTATAATTCTAAGGAATAAGAACAGTATGATCATTGGTTTGCCTCTTTCCAAACATGAGAGTCAATGGGCCTCAAGTTTGACTTTGCTTAGAGCCTCACAAGCTCTAGAGCAGCCTTGCTGTCAAGTAAGACAAGTATTTATACCTCCACTCCATCTACCTTTTCCCTGGGAATTCCTGGCCACATCTCTTCCTGGAAACAGTCATCTCACTGCCTCCTGTCACCCAGGTGAATCAGAAGGGGACTGGGAAACTCCCAAGTCTTACACAGAAAAGCACCATATTCTCTTGCATTTCATTTCGCCACTTCCAAATCCTGGAGAAAGTTTGAAAAGACCTTAAACTGAACACTTCAAGACACTGAGTTGAAAGTCCCCAAGAGGTTAACTTTAATATAGTAAAGCTGAAACATAAAGATGATGCATCCATGAATTAAACCAGTACAGAGAGCTAGATATGGCGATGTAGGGATCCACAGAAAAAGGACACTGGACTTGATAACAGACAAACTGAGAACTTGGACAGTCCTAGGATTCCACAAACCTACAGGTCTCATCTGATGATACAGATATCATCTGTGAATTTATCACAGGTGATATCTAATGTATTATCAGATTCATGTGTTTAAAGGTTCTGGACATAGCTTAGGAAATGCCTTTTTAAAAAATGAGCTTTTTTAAAAAAAAAAACAAAATAACCATTAGGTAAATTCAATTCAATATAATAGAATGAAATGTGACTCAGAATTTTGATGGCAGAATTCTCTGGTTATTCTGCTATTTAATTTTAGACATACAATCAATGTCAGAGATATGATATTCTGCATATGGCAAGATGCCTAACTAACAAAGCAAGCAAAGTAAAATTGTGTGTTATAAAGAAATACAGATTTGTCTTCTTCTTTTTATTATTTTTCTTTTTTAGAATTTTACCCAGCTACCTGGAGTTGGTGAAAGATGTGATACCCCAGCAAATCTTCTATCTAAAGGATGTCAACCAAACTTCATTGAAAACCCTGTCTCCCAAGTAGAAATAATTACAAATAAGCCACTCAGTATAGGAAGACAGAAAAATAGTTCTGACATTGTTCAGATTGCGCCTCAAAGCTTAATTCTTAAATTGAGACCAGGTATGTTATGATTTATATGAGCATTGAGTCATGTAAATACATCTAATGTCATATGACAATGTCACTGTTCTGCTCATACACTTTGTGCCACATATTTACAATATCATTGTTATTATCACTCAGATTTCCCATTCTTCAGGAAATAAAGAATTGCTTTTCTTTATTCATATCGGTCATTCGTACTCCAAATGTGTTACTAAAAAAGCCTTATCTGATAGTAAGCATTTGAATTGCTTAAATGTTGTGAAGGTTTACCTCATGTTTCTTCAAGAGTTGTAATCTAGCTTGAAACTCCTTTTTATTTTGCTCTCCTTTTCTAAAACCACATACAAAAAATTCAGCTTATCTCCCATCTAAATGGATGGCAATTCTCCCAAGGAGATATAAAATATCCTAACTCTTACCTCCTTCAGTAGCTGTAAACATACAGCTGGAAAATTTTCAGGGGCTCATTCATTTATAAACTTTGCCACATAGTTTATGAAGTCCGTAGCATCTTCAGTAAATTCTTATTTAAATGAATAGCCAGCTGGTCCACTGATTGGCTAGTCACAAACAAGTCTCAATGCATATTTATGAGTTTGCTTTTCTTGCGGCTACTTGCAGGTGGTGAGCAGACTCTGCAAGTGCAAGTCCGCCAGACCGAGGATTATCCTGTGGACTTGTATTACCTTATGGACCTCTCGGCCTCCATGGATGATGACCTCAACACAATCAAAGAGCTGGGTTCCCTGCTTTCCAAGGAGATGTCTAAATTAACTAGCAACTTTAGACTGGGCTTTGGCTCTTTTGTGGAGAAACCAGTCTCCCCTTTTATGAAAACAACACCAGAAGAAATAGCCAACCCTTGCAGGTAAGTAAATGATTCTCTGGCATCTTTGAACACTGATTTTCTGTAGAGATAGCCCCACTCTGAGCTGCACTTGGCAGGAGCTTGATAATTCCCTGGCATTTTCCTCCTGTCTGGTTAGATCTCAGCAGCTCTCTCAGTTACCTGGGTCATTCAGAACCAAGGGAAAGTCATCTTAATACATGGTTCTAGCCTTATGTCCTTGCAGCATATGTCTCCATGTGTAGGTCAAGATATGACAAGTTTGGTTCTGTGTTCTGCAGGCAAGAGGACCAAGTCTTGTGCTACAGGTTCCACTAACCTGTGCCCCAGCCCCAGCCCC